TTGGGATGGCCTGGAAAATCCCACAGGGATGGATGGGGTCACCTGCCCGGACACAGCTGTCCCCTCCCAGAGACCCCAAAAATCCCAGTGGGGGATTTTGGGGATCCTTTTCCCCCTCCCATCCTTACCTGTGTCCAGGTATCCTCCCTCCGGCGCTGCCGGCTCTGCTGGGGGCTGCGAGGAGAGGCAGGAAAAGTGGGAAAGGCAGGAAAAGCCCTGGAACACCTGGAATATCTGGGACACCCTCCTGCCACCAGCCCCAGGTGGATCCTTGGGCACTCCCGGGGATCCAGGCACAGCAAATCTGGGAATTGCAGCCCAGGCAGGAATTCCTTGCCAAGATCCCAGCCCAATCTCCCCTTTCCCACTGGAAGCCATTCCCTGGCTCCTGGCCCTGCAGCCCTTGGCCCCAGTCCCTCTCCAGCTCTCCTGGAGCCCCTGCAGGGACTCTCAGCATTCCCTGCATTTTGCCCTTCTCCAGGGGAACATTCCCAGCTCTCCCAGCCTGGCTCCAGAGCAGAATCCTGGAATGATTTGTGTTGGGAACGCCCTTAAATCCCATCCAGGGATTCCCTAATCCCACGTTGATCTAAGCCCCAGTGTCCAACTTTTCCTGGGACACTTCCATCCCCTGGGAATTCCCCATTCCCGGGATTTCCTCACCTGCCCGGCCCCTTCCTTCCTCTGCTTCTGCCTCTCCTGGATTTTCTCCCGCAGGAGCTGCAGGAGCTGCTCGGCCATTCCCGGCCGGCTCCGCACCAGCTGCTGGATCATCTCCTCCGGGACGCGCAAATTCAGCTTACTCAGCACTTTCCTAAAATTTGGAATGGATGGAACAGCCCGGGGAGGTGACAGAGGGACCCGGGGGGTCACCACGGGGGGGACACGGGGGGACACCAATCCCCACCCGCAGCACTCCGGGGTGGCTCTGTGGGACACAAGGGGTGTGACAAAGGACGGGGGACACCACCCCCAGGCCTGCTGGGGACACTCTGGGGTCACCCCGGGAGGTCACACGGGTCCCCCTACCTGTTGAGGTGGCCCCAGTTGGCGACTTTCTGCGCCGTGGAGCTCGTGGGCACAAAACTGTGCAGCTCCACCAGGGAGGGGAAGAAGAACTTCACCACCTCGGCCGCCAGCACTGCGGGGACAGCGGGGACACGCTGGGGGTGGCACCACCGGGGACAGCCCGTCCCGGCCACCCCGCCGTGCCCCCCCTGAAGCCAACCCCCGTCGCTGAAGTCGCGGGCGATGTTCCTGCGCGGCCGCGACAGCGGCACCGTGTCCAGCCAGCGGTACAGGGACACCAGCGACGTGTCCGGGC